TCTCTTCTTCAAGATTTCTCAGAAGTAATTAATAGCATTGTAATTGTAGAAATTCCTAAGCCTATTAACATCAACCTGGTTTGGATACCATTCTCAGACTGTTGTTCTGACATCATACCACTTCTTCAAAAAAATGTTTAATAGCAGATATTGACATTAATCCTCTTTTTCAGAAGAAAACATATCTTGCCAAGTTTCTTGGTGTTCTTCATTCAAGAATTCTTGTGTTCTTCTTCATTAGATCAGTTTCAGGTTCCATTATAAGCTCTTCAATGTTCTTTACTTCTCAGATATGATTTTGGTTACTACTTTAGCTGCTTGAGTCTTCTTGATTACACTGTACCTTTTTTAGATAAGATTGAACTGCGGCCTACTGTAGACATGTTCAAGACATACTGCCCAGCAACAACAGACATCAGACATCTGCCCACTCTCTACCTTTGCTATTATACTCTCACCTTTCGAAAATAAAAACCGATGAAAAACTTAACGAGTGCCCACCTACTGTCTTGCGAATACTATAAAAAAAATTGTTTCTGTTGAAAAAATAAACGGCTGGAATTACAAGGGAGAGTATCAAAGTTCAGAGGAATACTATCTGATCAGTATATACCGAGTTGAGTGTCAATGTCGACATCTCCAGCGCTCCGAAAAGTTTCGAATTGTTGTTTGAAGACAAGGGAAGACCAATCGGTATTCATTATTTTATGTTGCTTCTTGTGTTTGTTCTGTGAGGTGTTCATTGTCTGAACATAAAAAACTTTTATAAAAGTGTTCGTTTGTTCATTATCCGATTTGTTCGTTAATTGATCACCTACTGTATTTAACTAAAAATAAAGATAAAATGAATTATTATTTACCAATAATAACTGAAGACCTTTTACAGCAGAACTAATAAGTCCAAGTTCGGCATCAATTTCTCCAATACCCACAAGTGAATCTTTTACATAGCGCAGCAACATTTTTATTCCATCTCTGTCAACCATAACAGGGGCAACTCTTTCAAGAAGATGCTTTATAGTCATATAAAAACTATTTGTATGAACAGGAAGCCCAAGACTTTTCAAAACTTCTTTCTAAAAATAAAATTATCTGTGTTATTATTAAAGTAATGATATAACAAAATTTAATTTATTTCAGTAAACTGCACAATTCAATTTCTTGGCTAATTTTTTAAAATCAGTGTTTACTGATTTAGAATATTACAAAAATATTAAAATAATGATATCAACTAATTAATTTAAACCAATTAGTGTTTAATTTTAGTATATTAGTGTATGTGTATATAGTTTAAAATATTAAAGCAAACTGATCATAGAAAACATTAATATGGTGGTATCTTCAAGCTAATATATTGTAATGTCATTCACAAATTAAATGATAATCCAGATTTGTAATTTGTGTTGTAAAATAAACTTTACTATATTTTATATAATAAAATTATTTTTAAAATTAAAAATAAATAGCTATTAAACCAATAACTTATGCTGTACATTTTTATTGTTAAATTTCAGTCCCCAACTTAAGACTATCTGACTTGCAACAATATGTAACTATGACAGCTGAAACTATTATATTAAAAACTTATTTTAGTTCCAACAATCAGTTGCACTTACTAATGTCACAAAATAACAAACATTAAATATAATATTGTAACAGATAATAAACATGCACACACACCTATTTTATTTCTCTCTTAAAAATTAAGACTTTTTAAGGACTTTCAAGCACTTCTAAGAAAACTTTTAAATACTTATTTCAAGGTCCTTAATTAATGAACAGATGGACGAAGAATGGAGTAGAGCAAGGACTGCATTCTACTCATTATCTTTTGAAGAGAGATAAAGACAAGAATACAGTTCCAGATTGGGTCTTCTGATCTCCAAAGAATGCATTAAATATTTCAACCCATTATTTTATTATAAATATTTTAACAGTAATGTACAGTTGGATTTGCTATGGTTGAAAATATCTTAGCAGAACTTACACAATATATCATATGTTTTTACTCCCTTTTACAGACTGTCAATTTCACAAAAGATCATACTTTTATTGAATTTCTTGTAACATGACAAACATTGAATATCTACTACATGATGATTTTAAGCATTTTAAACATGTTTGTAAACATGTTTTGTAATTCTTAATGTTTATATATTTTTCTTATTTCTATTATCATATTATCAGGGTCCATACAGATAATTCCATCTCCGATTCCCTGACCAATTATGATATTATTCCCTGACCTATTAAAGTCTCTGCATTTTCCCTTTCCATTGGGTAATATTTGACCAAGTCTATTTAAGCCATTTGTACACAATTATATAAATTTTTTTATTAAAAAACACTTTATTCACTTAAAAAAAACGAAAAACTTTGTGTAAAATTGATCATGTAATTAGCTACATTATTTCTATGTCATAAAAAATTTAATGATTTTTAAAAAAATTAATTTGTAAATTTTAGTTAAGTAAGGAAAAGACTCAGGTCATATCATAAAATCAAGTTTTCTTAAAGAAAGGAGGCAAAAAATTCAAAATAATTTAAACAGAATAAATCACACTCTGTGTGAGAGGAAGAAATTGCTTATCGTATGCTATTTTTGGTCCAGCACAGACTCATTCAAGGTCATTATAGTTCTTCTCATCTCTCCCTGAAACTTATAATGGGAACAGCAGAATTTTGATGGGAAAGCAAGTTGTTGTCGATGGTGTTTTTTAAAACACAACTTTAACTCTATGGTGATATTTTGGTATACTTCCAAAAAATGTGGACTTCTGAAATTCCATGGGTCGTATGAAGATGAAAATTTAGTTAGAGAGAAGACATATCACAGATCATCAATCTGTCAAAATTGGCAAGATTATTATCTCCATATAATGCAGGTGGCCAGAAGTGAAAAATTCAACAAATAAAAATACATAAATTGTGAGGTCTGCCTGCGGTCCAAAATGTCCCACGCACAATATCATTAAGCCAAGTGACAGTTATTTGCCTCCCCAATGGTATCAACTGACTGTAAAGGGTTAATCAGATGTCGCACAGGTCAAAAAAATTGGGAGGGTCATGTATGGAACACAATTGCAATCATTTAAGGCATAAATCCATTTTTGTGTTATTAGAAGATAAGATAAGATGTAAATGAATAAAGTCATGATAGTTATCAAGAGTTAATATCTATCGGTTCAGGTGGTGGCACACTTGAAGTATTTGCACCAGAATTGATGCACTTGGTTTTCATATGCTTTCTATACAACATGCATTGTTTGGCATTAGTTATTTCAGGCTTTTCTAATTCCTTGTAAATTTTTCTTTCTTTCCAATGATATACATTTCTTACATTTCTGTTCATATTTCCTTTGCAATTTCTTTGACATTATGAAAATTTTCTTTAACTCACAAACTTATTGGCTTATAAGTTTATAAATTCTATTTTATTGGTTATTATTACTAAATAATATTGTAGATCCTGTCATTCTGTACAAATCAAAATCAATTTCAACGTCCTATCTTTTCACAATCGAAAGTTATACTCTGACCAAATGCTGTGCGGCACCACTATTTTCAGTGTTCACATGCAACCCAAAATCCCTCTCACATCTGCATACCCCACTACCCACTAATTTAAATACAAACATAAAATAAATTTATCCAATCTATCCAATAAAATTTTAATCGTTAGATTATCATTTATAGTTTATGAGATATAAGCACAACAAATCTTTCCATTCTTTTGATTGCTCCAGTTTTCATACACCCTCCTATACCAAACCCAATTTAAAGACACATTCAGATCAAAAAGGAGCAAGAGCAACAGATCGATTCTGCAGTATTTGCAGATTTCCTGACATTTGATGCCATTCCTTGACTTTCCAGGTCTGTAAGGACCTTTTATGATGCTTTTACGTCTATTTTATGTATTTTACTTGGTTTATTCATATTTGTATTTTTATGTATTTTATTCAAATTTACTGGTTAAACAGAGGGAAGAAATCTTACATCTTATACATGATATTTTCTATTGTAATTGTGATAAATAAATTAATTAATTTAAGTTAAACTTAAATCTTATTTAATATTTAACTATACATAATGTTTTTGTCATATAAGCATAAAAGAAATTATTACTTCAACAGAAACTAAAATTTTATTTATCATTAGCATGCAAACACAAGCAGTTTTTTTAGGCACGACAGCATAAGATTACCAGTAATGTTCTGCTAATTTTTCATATGTAATTGCCATTTCTCAAATTTGATGATCTGAAAACTCATGTAATATGTTTTCTCTGCACATGCCAAATTTTATCATAAGTTGTTTGGTTTTTGAGATATAGTCAACTCATATTAATACAAATTGCTAGTGAACAGTAGTGAACACTTTATTGAAAATTGGTATTAATGATTTTCAGGATAAAAGTCAAGTTTGTCTAATTTACGAAATTACAGCTTAATAGACAATCAAAATCTCTAAATTATAATATTTTCAATTAATTTAATAAATAAAGTCAAATTTATTTACAAAAACAAATTAATGTTCTAAATGATTTTCAAATCAAACAAAATGAAGAGGAGACTATTCACTGTTTAAATGTAGACCAATACGTCAGAGTAGTTAAACAAAGCTAAAAGAAATCTATGATTTTTCTGTTTAAGATTTTTGAAAAACTAGAAAATATTTTTGGTGTCAAAAGAGCAAAGGAGGAGCCAAATTTGGCACAAAGTAACCAAACCTTACAGGTATCACTGTATGCACTCCCTGGCATGCAAACTAGCAAATGTTTGCATGGGACTTCATCAATTTAATGGGGTAGACATCATTAAACTTTAACTCCTATTTTTTAAGTACAACAGAATGTCTGCTTAAACCAAATGTTTGAATTGCGCTAAAATTGGAGATCAAACCTGTCTTTGCTTACCAGAAGAAAATCTATTCCACTCAAAATGAAACATTTATTACAATACCAATTTTTATTATTCAAGCCAAAAAGTGTAAAAAAGCAACTGTTATCAGAAATAGGGTTATTTCTGGGGGTTTTGAAGGTAATTTACAGTTTGGTTTCATGAATTGTGATAAAATTTTTGCTTGCTTTATTGCAAACAAAATTAATATTCTGACAATAACATTTTGCCAGGGCAACAGCAAAATTCACTATAATGTGAAAATTTGCTTTATTAGTGTTCATATTAAGGAAAGTTAACTGTATAGAATAATGTCCTAGACTAAATTCCCTATGGGAGCCCTTCAAACTATGCAACAGCTAGGGCTAATGTGAAACAAATTCTGATGAAAATAAATGATAGGAGGAACATTGTGGTGTTTCTCAGAATGACCAGAAAATGATTTCTCTATATTTTTCAGGCACAAAATAAACCCACAAAGCATTTTATTACTTATTATTTATTTTATTATTTTATTAATGCAAGCTAATGCATTGTAATATTGCATAATAAAATATTTGAAAAAACTTAACATAAGAAAAAATAAAAAATAAAGAAAAGAGAGGTGGAAGTAATAAAAGCCAACAGTCAATTTGAACACAAGTCATTTTCATGTCAAGTGTAAGCACTTCTCACATGACTATGGAAGCAGCTGAAAACCTTCCACATATGTGTTCTTAAAGTATCTTTATGTCATAAAAAAAATGTAATATTTCCATTAAACTATTCATTTTACAGCAAAAGTGAATTAAACTTTTTTGTTTCTCTAATTTGAAAATGAACTCAATTGCATTAATTTGAAATTTCAACATTTAATGTTATTTTTACAAAGACAATGACTAGCCAGTTGCAACTAATATTTTAGTGTTTCTTATGACTTATCAGCCTCTATCATTTGAGCCCAGTTTCATATAAATTCCTGATTTACCATTAATGACATTCTCTTGTTAGTAATTACATGGTTTGAGTTGGATTAAGTTATACATATCAAGTTTATCAGTTTGTAAAATGATTTATTCTAATGATTTCCTGTATGTAATTATAATATAACGAATTCTAATGATTTAAAATCTACTTTATAATACTTACCACACTATATTCTGCATCACTGCAAGATACACATCCCCTAAAAATTGCATCCATATGTGATCTTACTCGAGAATTATTTTCTAACAAATTGCAAAATTTCAGAATATATTCTTGAGCTTTGATTGGTTCCAAAAGATTTTCTGCATCAAAATGATAAAATAAAGCTTAATATACACAAATATATATAAGTCTTTTAAATGTACTATAATATCCAATATATTATTAAACGTAAAAAAACATAATTCATAAAAAATTTAAATTTTTGATAAACTACTTTGTTTCCAAATATTGATGTCAACAAGCTTATTAGCTTTGAAAATGCATACTTGTATAAATGCATACTTGTTGCATCTGAAATAAACTGAGCTGGTACAAATTTTGCAAAAGTAGTTAATCTCTATCTATCTACAGTGCAGAAGTTTTAAGCATGGTGATAAAATAATATTTGTTTTCCTGGATTATTGATTTTGTTAAAATGAGATACCTATGTTTATTCACCTACAAAAAAAACTGTTTGTTATTTTTAAAATTCTATTACAGAATTTGACCTAACAATTCATTTAGTCAAAAACATAAATGATTGGGACATTCTCTTCACATACTCTTCCTCCCAAAAATTTAGATTAATAATATTCCTTAAAATAAAAAAGTCTAGCTTAAAATAATTTGTCTTACTGTATTGCCTAGACTTCATTATTTTAAGAGGTATTTTTAACCTTTAACTTAAAGAACTGTTAATGACCTTACCTAAATTGTAAAATATCCTTTAGTTAGTTTTCCTTTACTATCAATATTTCTTAATTTTACAATATTCAGCAATTAATAGAAAATTGTGATTGAACAAATTTTGCAATTAATTTTTTTACTAAATCAAATAAAATAAAATATATTAACTAATCCTTTAATTTCATATTATTAAAGAGACCTCAGATAATTAAAATAAATTAAAAAATTATATTTATATTTAATTATTACTTACTAGATAATCCTAATACTTTAGTTACAATAATTTTATCTCTTTCTTCACTTTTAGGTGTTGTTAACATGTCTAATATATTTCTAACTTGATTTCTCACCCTAAATTAATTTTATTAATAATTAAAAATTTTTAACTTTTTAAAATAAAATAAAGAAAAAAAGCATACTTACATATTTTGTGACTTTAATAATTCATTAAAAGCTCTAGACAATGAACAATATCAATTAAAATGTAATAAATTATGTCTATATCAAGATTAATTATTCTATACTTTTAGAGATAAAAACTTAATAAAAAAAATACACTTAAATTTTTATGTAAAAGATATGGAATATCACTTAAAACACAAAAACATCTTTTTAATTGTTTTTTAAAAAGATATTTAAATGACAAAATTTAATACAATATACAGTAAAGCATCAAAAATCTGAATTTGACCATTGAAAAATAGATATTAACCCTTTCAATGGTAACTTTGTTGTTGATGTTATTTTGCCTGTGTTCTTTTGGCCTTGCACTGTTGATGTTCTAACATTTCTTATTATGTTCACAGTTGCATAAACACAAATGACCATTATTAAATAATAACTGTATCACATTAATAATTAATAAAATTAAATATTATTAATAAAATTAATAATATTTAATAAAGTAACTAATTGTAATAAGTAATTACTTAAACAAAATATATTATTGAACTTACTTTGCTGCATAATCATCAACCATTACAAAGAGTTGATATAACTTTTTAACTCTTTCTTCAAGAGGACTTTGATATGGAACTAAACAAGTGTGTAATATCCTTTCTACTAATAGTCTGCAAAAATTTAAAAATGAAATAATTATTTAATTAATTAAGTACTGTACATCATCATTATGTAAATAATGTTTGATTCTATGTAATTAATTAAGCAAAATATCTAAATTTTGTAAAATAATGTAAGTAATTATTTGTGATTTCCAAATTAGTATATACCTGGAGTTGATCATAGTAATAAATACAATTGAGAAGGGGATGAAAGATCATCTAATGAAGCCTTTAATGATCTTGTATTTTTTGCAGTATTCAGCCTTAAATAAAAGGTAGTGCTGCAGTATGTTTTTACATAATTCTGTGTTCAAAAACTGTTAAGATACCTAATTTTGTGTTTGTCTTCAAACATATCTATTAACTAGCAGGTGGGCCCGGCGTTGCTCGGGCAAAAGTAACGATAACTAAGATAAAGATTATTACGTTACAGTCAACCTTACCCGTTTTCACAGAATGCAAGAATTGGGTCCCCTTGTTTCCAGACTAATTAGAGAACTTTTAGATGGTTCTAAAAATATGTTCGATTTCCTGCAAAAATGAAAGAACTGCATCTGCGCCTGTAAATCTTGCACGTCGCTTTCTCTTAACAATTCCATTGTTACGTAACACTTCCATTGTTACTTAACACTTCCATTGTTACCTAACATTTCCATTGTTACCTAACACCGCCATTGTTACTTAACACTTCCATTGTTGATGGAAGTGTTAAGCTTAATCCTGTCCCTCTCCCCCCAGGGGGCATTTCGAAAAATCCCTTCTTAGTGTGCGTTTTCGTGACGTACCCTAACTGTGTACCAAATTTCAGCTTCCAACTCCTAACCGTTTGGGCTCTGCTCTGATTATTATTATTATTATTATTATCAACTCGTCTCGATTATATATATAGATATGATGTAATCCTGGAGTTTGTTATCATAGGCATGAAAAACTCACCAGATTGAAAAAATCATCTCCATATCACCATTGGTTTAATATACGATGATAAATTGCCAGATGTATCAACATTGTCCCATTTTTCACTATTCACAAAATGGCTAAAAAATAAAATGCTCATGCCCATAAAAAGGCAACATCTATACTCAGATTTATCAAAACAATAGTAGATACACTCCATGTCATTTGAATAAAGCAAGAATATTAATTATTGTTCTCACTTCATCCACCCATTTTTGGATAAATGTCAGCTTTATTTGTTTGTGACTTGAATAAAATACACTTCAAATGGATAAAGTTGAAAATTAATAAACTGTTACTTGCTTTAATCAAAATACTTGGAGCATTAGCCAGCTAATCCTAGCTTTATTGATTTATAAACTTTAGCTGTAACATATATCAACATATATAAGGTGTTTCTCATAACAACCAACAAAATAAACCTGCAAAAACATTTAAATTGTTGATCATAGCACCCAGGCTATCTTAGGAAGACAAACATCAAGGTTGTAGCAACTTGCAGATGTACAAGTCATTATATTATGCTAGCTAACAAACATCTATGATATGATGTCTACCTCTTGCAGAAATCATGAGAGACCTCCATGACATTGTTTTCAATGATGTCAGGTTACTAAAAATGAGATCATGTGACAATAAAGAACAGTACATAACTGCATGTGTAAGGTAGCAATTTTCTGCAGTGGTATTTTGAGGGCCTGCGATTAGGAGAAAAAGATTTTTTTGGCTGATATTTTTACACAGTCAAATGGGTAGCATGTAACATGATATAACATGGAAAAACAGCTAAGTAAGTCAATATGGTAGAAAATTCCCATGAAAAGATTAGTAGGTTACCATTAGAAAAGATTAGTAGTTACCAGAAAACAGCCATTACATGTGATTGCAGGTTAAGAGGTTTCACAATAGTCAAACCTTGGGTTTCAAACTTAATTTGTTCCTGAAAGTTGTTTAAAAATTGATTTGTTCTCAAAACCAAAACAAATTTTTCCATAAGAATCAATATAAAATAGATTAAGCCTTTTCCAATCCCCAAAACAAAACTTTTTTAACTAATATAAATCATCACCACAAAACCTACAATAATAAAGCATTGGATTTCATGGTGATGTTTATATTTCTGTATATATGCCTTGCCAAGTACGTGATGGCCAGCTGAATACTTTATGTGGGAGTTTACAGGATGAGGGTGCTGAATGCATCCCCAGTTAGTACTATAATTACCAATGATGGCTATTTCATAATATTAAATATAATGAAAGAGAAGATCAGACCAGAGGTCCAGGTAGAATAATTGGCAACATATCCGCATGTCAAGAGGGAGTTGCAGGTTCATATCCTGCTCCAGGCTGATTCTTTTCTTCTAATTTAATCTAAAATTATTTAAATTTATTATGAGATGGTGCCTAATGCCTCCCTTTTTGATCAAATTTATCCATGATTTATAATTATTATAGCTGATATTTAGTCCAATGTCATATGGCAATGGTTGTTGTCCTTTTTTTTTAACCCTTTTAACTGTATTTCATGCATTAAAATGCTTATAAAGGCAATATAACAGATATAGATATAGATAAAGTAATATTTTATATATATTTAAATCAAAATGTTATGTCACTATCAATTGAAACTGAAACCAAAACTAACACTTTACAAAGAAGTGGTATAAATAGAAATGCAACTCTGTCTGGATGAAATCAATGAAGACAAACAACAAATACTTTCTTTATCCACACTTTCTGGAATATTATGTTTCAATTGATTTGATTTCTATTTTAATTTAAACTTAAATTAATTAATTAATTTTAATTTAATTTATAATTTTAGTTTCGGTGTAGAGGCCAGTTTTAATTATTATTTTATTTTATTTTTAAATATATTATTATTCTTAGTTTTTATTAATTGGCCCACCTATTGTTAATAAATATTAAATATTAATATTATAATATAGGGTTTTCCAATGGGGTGTCTCAAACTTCAAGTTTAAATAAAATAAGTTGGGTATGAAATAATACTAATTTTATTTTTTCACTTGAAAGAGTATTCAATTACATTATGTATGGAATATAATATAGACCAAATGGCCACCACAGCTTTGCTGGGAGGTGCATATCTGAGAAGTCCAATTTTTGATTACTCGACCACATAAATCAGGCTCGATATCATTGTTGGCATTGGTTATGTTGACTTTTAAGGCATCAATTGTCTGCGGCTTATTTACATAGACCCATGATTTAACGTAGCTCCACAAGAAAAAGTCTAATGGTGTTAAATCACATGATCTCAGTGGCCAGCTGACATTGCCGAAACATGAGATAACCCATGCCACTGAATTTGTCATGCAGAAGATCAGAAGATCCATTGTTGCATGCGCTGTGTGGTAGGTAGCACTGTCTTGTTATAACCGCATGTTGTTGAGATCCATATCTTCCAATTTAGGCCACAAAAAATTGGTTATCATCAACCTGTACCTCTCGGTGATAGTTATGGCTGTGCCAGCTTCATTTTGGAAGAAGTACATGCCAATGACCCTGCCAGACCAAAATCCACAGCAAATAGTGACTTTTTCTGGATGCATTTGCAACTGATGGGTCTCATGTGGATAGTTATCCCTCCAAATGCGACAATTTTGCTTGTTGACATAGCCATTCATCCAAAAATGGGCCTTGTCACTGAAGATGATTTTCCGTCCGAAATCGGAGTCCACTTCCAACTGCTCCAGAGCCCAGTCAGTGAATACTCAATGCTGCCTATGGTCGTTTACCTTCAGTTCCTGGGTCAATTGAATTTTGTATGGGTGCAGGCCCAAGTCCCGGCACAAAATTCACCAAGTTGAGGTCTGCAAAAGGCCAAGTTCTTGGGCATGATGAGGAATTGACTGCCACAGGTTATCCTGCACACTCATTCACTGTAGCAATGTTTTCTGCAGACCTCATGTTTTGATGATGTATGGGTGTTGTTTGATTGTTTACTGAACCAGTTGATTCAAATTTGTTCACCAAACGATGAATAGTTGACTCAACAGGACAATTGTGTGCACCATAAAAATCATGTAGCGCAAAGAATGTAGCTTGAACTGAGCACTCATTTTGATAGTAAAGTTTAATGATTTGCACACGTTGTTCAACACTGTAATTTTCCATGATGATTTGCCCAACAATAATTACTATAACCTCCAAATTTGACAGCTGTAGCTTCACTAACATGGCTGCTATACACTGTCAAAGTTTGAGCGCCCCTAGCAGAAAACCCAATATATAATATTATATTAATAAATTTTTGTCATTTAATTTAACTTAAACAAATTCTTAAATGCTATTTATATTATGTGAATGTCAATTAATGTAATTTTTATTAATTAATTTGATTTAAAATCAACTGTAGTGCGTACCATAAAACAGAAATACAATAGAGCGTCGTTTATCCAAATCAATTGGGGACTGGGGTAGTTTGGATAACTTATTTTTCGGATAACTGATTATGTACAAAAAAGTATATTAACTTATCCCATGTTGAAATTTTTCTCCGTTGCGTGTCGCTTCGCATTGAATTTTCGTCGATGTTAAGCCTAACATAAACTTTTCAAAATAATAATTGTGGCTATTTTATCATTAAAAATTATTTCTTTATTTTGTACAAACAAAATAAATATATTAAAAAATATAAAAACCAAAAAATATATACTTTAGAAGTTGATCTAGTATCAAAAACATTCGATTCAGCACCACACAGTCCTCAGAAAAACACCACACAAAAGTACCAGTGCTGCCAGCTAAAACACACACACCAACAAAAAAAATATTGGAGTAGCCCAAGATATAGCCAAAGATTGCAGCGCCACAGCGCTAGCAAAAATTTAAATTTGCCGACTGGAATTCTTTCGGATAACCGACTTTCAGATAAACAACGCTCTACTGTAGTATCTTTCCTGCATGCACATTAAAATGTAATTTAACCTATTTGATGTTGAAATTTTTATTTGTTGCCTGTGACGCCATGTTGAATTTTCGTCGATGTTAAGCCTAAATTTTTTTTTTTGAATAAAAATCGTGTTTACTATATCNTTCATTATTTTAAGAGGTATTTTTAACCTTTAACTTAAAGAACTGTTAATGACCTTACCTAAATTGTAAAATATCCTTTAGTTAGTTTTCCTTTACTTATTTTTCACAAACAAAATAAATATATTGAATAATATAAAAACGAAAAAATTTTTATTTTAAAAGTTCGTTTTAATATAAAAATTGTGACACATAGCGACATCTAATATCAAAAACGTTCTGATGTAAACACGGAAATATTCGGGATCGCCCATACAGGTCAATGAGGTCAACCCAAAAATTTTCAAGAACAATGTAGGACAGGTTAAATAGCATTATCATCAACGATTTGTACACAATGTATCAAGACGCAATACGATCTCAGCACCACTAACTTGTGAATCAGTAGTCCTGTCAATAATTAATCAAGTCATCACCTTTCAATAACATAAGTATAGGAAGCTGAATATCAGTGGCTGGCTCTGCTGAGTAACTTGTTCAGCAACTGAGTTATCAGTTATCATATAGGAACCAGAAAAAATATCATGTTCAAAATTTTTTTCATAAACCAAATTGTTTAAAAAGGCATTCAAAACCTGAGATTTGACAATATACACTGTAGGAATTTTCTTGTTCTACTCTTATATTTTATATTATTTTATATCTTATGAACATACTTTAGAAATTTATTCTGTCACAATATAATGTATTAATTCTTTGTTACTGATTTATTATTGTATGGTGTAACAATAACTTTGTTACTGTTACACCATACTAGATGACGTTTATAAAAAAGCGTAGTTAAGCCTCTCTACCATAATACTGTTGAATTGCGAAAATTTGAACCTTGATGTGAGTTCTTTTGGTTTTCCTATGTAATGTTTTTAGTTTTTAATAATTTACAACCTTTATTTATTATATTTTAATTTATTTATACAGTGAAATGTTTAACTCATTAATTAATTATACAACGAGAAAAATACATTTATACTCGGGTTTGGAATATGTATTTACAGTAAGTTTTTAAAATTATTTTTATGGCAATGTAAAAAATTTTAACTTATACAATAACTTATTTTTTTTTATTATTGTTACTTTTTAATGTGTGGTAGTAGTACTGCTGATGAGGGGCATGCTAGCCCGAAACACGTGTAATATGTGTACAGAAACTATTACTACAGGTGATATAATAAAGAAATTTTGCTCTTTCCTGAACTAACTCTCATTGCTGTGTCAATCTTTAAACACCAGTATTAAGTCCTATTAATAAATAATGTCCAAATAGACAATTAACAATAATATTAGAATCTTTGTTACTGTTATTTGTTTGCAATTTATTTTTTGATTTTGACCAAAATTTTCCATTATGCAATTCCAAGGAACACATTTTTTATAACAATTAAAACCAAAGCATTAAAAGCCCAATGTTATAAAATGCATCTTTTACAAATTTTTAAAATAAAATATAAATGTGTTGACTTTGACAAATTTCTAGTATAATTAATTGAAAACAAAAAAGTAATAAAATTTTGATATTTGTAATTATGCTTACCTATCTTCTAGTGCTGTCTGATAATATACATGAAGTACTTTATTTTTTATCCATGATATACAATCCCTTGTTGATTGAGGTAAATCAGGACTACTCATATGCTGTTTGTACAAAGTAGCTAAACCTAATAATGCTTCTTTTCTTATTTTGAACTAAAAAAAATAATAATTCTTGAATACAATATTTTGTTATAACAGGAAAAGCAAAATATATTTTAGAAATATGTAAAAATATTTTAGGAATACTGAAAGCAGACATATTTTAGGAATGCATCAAACATTGATATTGATATTAACTGATGAAATGTTATTTTTAAATGAGTTAACAAAAAAAATTTTTTTGATCTTCAAAATTTATGCAAATTAGTAAGAAATTACCAATGATTATAAATGTTATTTGTTTANGTAACTAATTGTAATAAGTAATTACTTAAACAAAATATATTATTGAACTTACTTTGCTGCATAATCATCAACCATTACAAAGAGTTGATATAACTTTTTAACTCTTTCTTCAAGAGGACTTTGATATGGAACTAAACAAGTGTGTAATATCCTTTCTACTAATAGTCTGCAAAAATTTAAAAATGAAATAATTATTTAATTAATTAAGTACTGTACATCATCATTATGTAAATAATGTTTGATTCTATGTAATTAATTAAGCAAAATATCTAAATTTTGTAAAATAATGTAAGTAATTATTTGTGATTTCCAAATTAGTATATACCTGGAGTTGATCATAGTAATAAATACAATTGAGAAGGGGATGAAAGATCATCTAATGAAGCCTTTAATGATCTTGTATTTTTTGCAGTATTCAGCCTTAAATAAAAGGTAGTGCTGCAGTATGTTTTTACATAATTCTGTGTTCAAAAACTGTTAAGATACCTAATTTTGTGTTTGTCTTCAAACATATCTATTAACTAGCAGGTGGGCCCGGCGTTGCTCGGGCAAAAGTAACGATAACTAAGATAAAGATTATTACGTTACAGTCAACCTTACCCGTTTTCACAGAATGCAAGAATTGGGTCCCCTTGTTTCCAGACTAATTAGAGAACTTTTAGATGGTTCTAAAAATATGTTCGATTTCCTGCAAAAATGAAAGAACTGCATCTGCGCCTGTAAATCTTGCACGTCGCTTTCTCTTAACAATTCCATTGTTACGTAACA